TAACCCTTCCACGTAAAGATGGCAGACGTGGCCTGATTGACATAGTTAACCTTCACTATAAAGAAATACAGTCACTGCGAGAGTTTTTCTACAGGAAACAGGAAACAAGAAACATCACAATTACATAAAGCAGTAACTCTAGGAGACTCAAATAGCACATCATTAAACTTACACTCACATCATACAGACATGACACAACACAAAAAGCATAGACACCATCAAGCAAACATGGGCTCAAAAGGCACTCCATGGTAGGCATCCTTATGACTTGGCCCAGGATTTTGTTGACAAAACTGCATCAAACAGCTGGTTAGATCGGGGATGCCTCTTTGGGGAGACGGAAGGATTCATGATTGCCATACAGGATCAGGTCATAAATACTAAAAACTACAGAAAACACATACTCAAAGATACAACACTCACAAATGACACATGCAGAAAATGTCACATCATGCCAGAAACTATACAACACATCACTTCTGGTTGCAAGCTCTTGGCACAGACAGATTACTTACATAGACACAATCAAGTAGCAAATATAATACACCAAGAGCTTGCAAAGAAACACAAATTGGTAGACATTCACGAACCATACTACAAGTATATTCCACAGACAGTATTGGAAAACAACACGCACAAAATGTACTACGACAGAGCCATAATCACAGATAAAACAATTTACCACAACAGACCAGACATCACACTCATTGACAAACACAATAAAATCACATACATTATAGACATAGCCATTCCAAACACTCACAATGTACAAAACACATGCACTGAAAAAATTAGCAAGTACACAGAACTTGCCCAGGAAATAAAGCATCTGTGGAGGATGGAAAGGGTGCTTATTGTACCTGTCATTCTCTCCTGTACAGGTGTGATACCACACACACTACACAAAAGCCTGGGAACATTACAATTGAGTAGAAATACATACATCACACTACAGAAGGCCACTATACTGAATACATGCCATATTGTTAGGAAATTTCTTAATACAGACACTGACACACACATTTAATTTTAGTTTTGTTTTGGTTGCTATGCATTGACTCTGGTCCGACATAGTACGCAGCCACTGGTGTGTACCGAGTATAACCCACTAAACCCAACACATAATAATAATAGGTTAGTGGCATTACATAATTCTATTAATAGTATCATATCATACACTTTTGAGGGGGATAACATTTTGATGTGCCATGTTGAGACATGTAGAGTCATGGGTGTGCCGTGAATAGAAAAAGCTTGCGGAACACTGCTCTAAAATGCCCTCTACATGTGGAGTCGTGGAAGAAAAAAAATAGTCTGAGTAACAAACATGGGACCCCTTCACACATTTCAAGCACAGTTTTTGCTGGAATCACTTTGTCCAAATGGATGGGCATGGATTTCTTCAGGCTGTTTGATAAACACCTTCTTTAGTCTCCATGTTTAACGATGATTCCTTTCAAGTATCTTACCTCCTACGTAAATGATTCCAAGCCAGGTAACCCGAAAAAAAGTGTTCTTTTGGTGCCAATCCACAACTTTTATATCTCCCATGTGTAAAAACATACTCCTGGATGGGAGTATGTTTTTACACATTTGACACACTACTTGTCCAATCAGCGGGCTCCCATAGGGTCTGCATGGAAAAGGTAACACCAAGGCACGAAATAGAGGGACAACACAAATTAACATCCTAAAAGTAACACCCAACACAAAATAAAGGGAAAAACAGGAAAAAAAAAACTACACACATAAATACAAAGAATAGTAGCATAGCACTATACCAGTAACTTTTGGTATCAACCAGTCATTTTTTTTTGATTGATTGATACCAAAAGTTAATTAAATTGAGATATTAATGAAAAGAAGCTTATTTGAAATTTTGTGTTGATTTGTTTAGTCATAGGACAGATGATCATTGGAACGTCATTGGAATCATGCTCGACATTCCAATTGCCATTATCAAACTTCTAGGCTTACAAGATGGCAGCGCTCAACACTCAAATTTTAGAGATGAAAACTTTGGTCGCAACCTCTCTAGTGTTTCCAACTTAGCCAAAGGATTTAATACGCTGAGATCATAACTGGAATTACCTAATGTTTTAATTGATGGCATGTCTTCTAAACAATAATAACCTTACTCTTCTTTCCCTTCTACCACTATGCTGTATTTATTTAGTACAATAAAGATAAAGTTTTACAAACAACAAAATTTTTATTCTTGTATCTTTTTTAAAGATGGGAACGGATTAATTGAATATCAGTTATTTATTATGAGAAAAATTGTTTCTATATTTGTCATTTTCCGTATTCGTTAGATCCTTAGAAACAGATTAATGATGAATATAGAGGTTCCACTGTATTTTTATTTATTGAGATATTATTACTCATCACTTCAATAATTGTTCATCAAATAAATAAAGCTGTCCTTTAGCATGAAAACTCTTTAAAGATGTTGAAATTAGCATTTTGATGATAATAAAATACCCACCTTAGTGATAATAAAGAAAAAAAAGCACTTTCCACATCATTGATGTCTTTGTCAAATTAAAATAGTAAGTTAATTTGAGATTGTTTGGCCAATAAAGCATATTTAAAGTTGTAAATGTTAAAATTCAAACATAAATACAGATTGAAGATGTTAAATATAATGAATTTTATACAGAGTAAAAGAAAGGTAAAATAATAAAGTAGATTATGAAAACTTAGGAGTAAGATATAAGAACGACTTTTACAAACAAAAATAAAATATAATATAATATAAATTTAAACTTTTGTCACACAGTATGATTCTACTGTGGCTACGTGCCATAATTGTATAGACATAGTTTATTATTTGAATATAATATTTCCTTTGTCTTCATGTCTATTGTCTTTCCTTTTGGAACTTTCTCCAGACTTGTGTTTAACAGCAGGTGATCAGCAGGTGATCCCTTTGTAACAGTGAGAAGGTATGTGACCCTCAGGGTATAACAGTGACCACGAATTCATTCTTTGGTGACGAAGGGGACAGAAAGGACGACGAAGAAAGCTCTACAGAGTGCTTTTGGCACCGCGTGGAGACGAGAGGAAAACAATAAAGAGATTGGAGAAACAAAGTGAAAACCAGGATTGTGAAACGTAGAAGAGTATTTTTTCCAGCGTGTCTAACTTAATATAAGTTCTAAGGAAAGAGGTTAATATTCGTCATGAATAGAAAGTGATTTGTCCAACTTACCGATATCACCGTAAACAATGCCGAAATCATTGGGTACCTGACTTTTCCTTCATCTCTGTTTTCTATTCTCTTTCTTGTATTATATCTCTATATCTTCTTAAGTAGATCATAGTTAGTCATAAGTTTAGTTGTAAAATATATATATTATTTGTATTGGCCCTTGGTAGACTACTATTTCCATTAAGAAAAAAATTGTAGCGATAAACAGACTTATGTTGGTTTTTGTTTTCTATAATAGTGTAATCAGATCGGGGTAGAGGTTGTATAGCTGGCATTCTATAATAATTTCCTGTACTCTGTTATGCGAATTAAAGATTCTTATATTATAAAAGTTGAGTTTCTTTGTCTATGGTATTTGCACACCTCACACTACCCATTTAGAAGTTTAAATACTGTACGAGAATTGGTCGCCTTACTCCCAAGGGAGAAGGGTTAAGAGAGAAAATTCTAGAAGCAATTTTTTTTTAATAAAGAAATAGAAAGAAACCTAAAACTACTTCAAATAAAAACATACAAAATATCTACACAATCATGGCTGATGGCCACAGAATTATCCAAAAATGTATTGAATCATGATCTTATTCATTTATGGGCCAAAACATCATTAATCAAACAATATGTTGAGTGCATATCTATCTTTATTTAGGAAGCATTATACATATCTACATTAGAACCCTGTAACAAACCTACTTTAGAAATCCCAAATATATGGATCTCACTATTTAAACTTCTAAATGGGTACCTTGTGACAATAATTTAAATTTACGTTTTAATTTATTTTAATTTGTATAAATTTTATATCTTACTCCTAAATTTTTGTAATTTACTTTATTACTTTATCTTTCTTTTATCCCATATAAAATTCATTATATTTAACATCTTCAATTTGTATTTACATTCAAATTTTAACATTTACGACTTTAAATATGATCCATTGGTCAAATAATCTGAAGAAGACATCAATGCCATATGAAAAGTACTTGTTTTTTATCACCACCAAGGTGATTATTTTATCATCATCAAAATGCTCATTTCAACATCATTAGATTTTAACACCAGAAGACAGTTTTATTTATTTGATGATTCTGTAATAAAAATTTTAGTTTTTTCAACATTTTACTTTTTATAAAGTAAATATTTAAAACCTTGGCAGACAGTGTTTAATTTTTTTTAAATTTGAAAACATTGCAAACATCTTACTTTATGTATTTTATTGTGAAATTGGCTAATTTACCAGAGGACACTGTTTCCATTTATATAATGTTGCGAGACCATAGCCTAAAAGGAAAGGTCATCTCCGTATATAAGAATTCTGTTTTGGACTGTCACTGGTGTAAAAGATGTTTTGTGTTTATTACTAATTATTATTTTAATGTAACTTTTTGTGCACTTTTTTCCAAACTTATCCATCATTTAAGCAACTGTGTTATTTTTACATAACATTACTTGCTCCAAAGTGTTAGATGCCAATATTAAAGTTTTTAAATACCAAGAAAGTAGCTTTGTTTTATTTATTTATTTAAAGTAAGTGGAAAAGTCTGAAGACAATTAATTTCTGTCCCAGATAATAAACCCCAAAAAGAAATAACACAAGTTAAAAGATATTAAAAACGATAAAACATAACAGACGAATAAATAATAGCAATAAGAAATAAAAACTAAATTATATATTGTATAAAATCGATTTATATTTGTTTGTATAAGAAGTAAAATTGTGATTTTAGTTTAATTATAAATCCATAACAAATTACTTTTAATATTTTTAATGTACAAATTGTTAACGTACCATTAAGAGAATTCAATGCTTTTTCGGCGTCTTCCCTGCTTTTGTAATGTACGAAAGCAAAATCTCTCAACTTCTTCACTTTTTCAACTTTTAAGGAATTGTTACAGGAGAATACGTCTCTAATTTTATCTTCGGTCGAAGAGAGCATCAAGTTTCTTACGTATAAAACGGTAACCTAAAGAGAATTTTAAAATTTTATTTTTTAAATTATTGACTAAAGTTTTGTATTGTTAAAAAATTATTGATAAGAAATTTATTTAGTAAGAGGGTATTTGTTTAGTGATAAATATAAGTTTGAATGTTATCAGTGCTCTTTCAGTTTATATATCATATCTTAAAAATTATAAAAGTTAAAAAAGAATCCATATTATTATTCTATATTTACTTAATATTTATTCTTCAGAATTTAAACTTTAATTCTTTTGATGATTAAATATCAAATTTTCTAAATTAATGTAATGTAAATGATTTGATGAAGATTAATCAAAGCAATTTAAATGTGTAAGATTATATTAAATTAAATACTATAAATCAAAACTAAGCTAATACAAAATTGTACGATTAATAATTTTGTATTAATACGTTTGATTTATAAGAATTTATTTATTTTAAATATTTTTAAAATTCAAACAGACATTATAAGAAACATTACTAAAAAAAAAAAAAAAAATGACTGAAATATCAGTTCATAATTTCAATATCAATGGCGTACTTCAGAACAAAACAGAAATTTCAGTCAATAATCTAAACATTTCTTTCAAATATGATTTTAATAAATAATTAACAAATATTTATATAAAAATATAAAGTACTGTATCTTTTTTGAGAAACATATCTCTAGTTTACTACTAAGCATAACATTTTAAAGTAACAAATCAAAGTAAAAAATTAATTACCAAAAAGTTTTGGTCTTTAAAGTTATAATGAAAACAAAAACAAATCATTTTGAATTTGAAAGGTGTAATTCAGATAGTCCGTTTGTTAGATAAAAGTTTAAGAGTACTGTCTATTGCTATTGCATTAATAAGGTTTTGATGAGTAAATACAAAATAAATACAAATGTATATCCACATGTATAGAATGTGGTCTTCAGACCAAACAAAAACAAATTTTAGAATGTTGACATAATTTTAACATTAATGTTAATATGTTATAATTGGAGTACACATGTTATTTTTAAAAATTTAAAACATGTGTGTTGAATTTAAATAGTGCTATTAAACTTACATAAATTGAAAATTATTGGTAGCTGTGATTTAATTTTTAAGTTATTAGATAGTGAAACCCATATTTTTGGGAGCTTTAGAAGTGATATCACATTAGATTACAAATCACTCCCAAAGTGTATAGATACATTAATACCAAAGGTTAAACAAAAATTCTTTGATTTTCTCGATAACAAGAAAATCGAGGAATAAACCTAGAAACTATTGCCATCTTGGAAATGTATTTGTCCCGGCAATATCGAACACCTAAGCCAATTGACAAAGAGCGTAATACAGTGAAACCATTCCTTTTAAAAGAGAACTTAAAAAAGATTGATCCTTTTGGACAAAGTTAAATAGTTTGTGTTGTGCAAAAATTATGATTTTCTACTTAAAGCAAACCAAATTTTTTCACATTCTAGGTCTGTATTATTGACTTCAGACCCAATGCCAAGTGTTCTGCGTAAAACAAGAAAGGTTTTAGCCAGGTTATCCCCGTGCTAAGAATCACTTCATCTCTTATGTTAGTGGGGGGAATCATTTAGATTCCCCCCACTAACATAGTATGTTTGAGATTATTCTTTGAAGCAAAAGTACACAAACCAGAGTGGCCGTTGCACTCCTTAGCATATAAATGCACACACCATATTTTTTAGAAAAGGAAAGGGCAAAATTTCTAAAATCCTTAACGCCCCACTCAGATCTAGTTGTTACATCAGCCATTGAAGCAAACATGATGATAATCAACAAATATCTAGGTGCTTTACCATCAAATTAATATCAATTTTTCAAAATTGATGTTGTTTCCCTTTATCCATCAATGGCATATTTTGGGGCAATAATGTTGGCAAATGCACTACTACTTAACAAACGTTTGTCTAGGCAGCAAGTTTTAGAAATATGTGATACTCCTAATAATAGAAAACCATTACTTTTGTTTTAATAACCAAATTTATCTTCAAAAATGGAGTACCAATTGGCTCTCTACTATCAGCGATATTTACAGAGTTAATCATAAAAAAATATTAAATTTAGAATTTTTTTTTAACCTTTAGTGGTCCATTATCCTCCATTATATATTAGATATGTAGATGATATATTACTAGCATGGGATGGAACCAATTTCAAACTTTTGCAGTTTATACAGCAATTATCCCAGATATATATTAGGAGCAGTCAAATGAAAACAAAACAGATGGGAAAAAAATAAGTAAACTGTTTATTATTTCAAAAATAATTGCCATAACTGTTAATACATTTATCCCACTGTGAGACAAGACGGTCAATGCCTTCATAGAAAATGTTTGCGGTTGCCTACGGAATCACGATTGTACCCAGGTGTGCACCTTTTCGTCCGAAGCAAATTGACAGCCACGAATTCTTTCTTCGGGGCTCCAAAAATATGGAAATCGCACAGAGAGAAATCGAGACTGTATGGAGGATGTGTATGGACTACGCTGCAGAAGTTCCCGGCGAAACTTCTGCAGCGTAGTCAAAACAACCTTGGTAACGTGTGGGTGGGCATTATCCTGCAACAGAATAATGCTGTCTGTCAACATTTCCCGGGTGTTTGGATTTGATGGCAGGCTTCAATTTTTGCAAAGTTTCTATGTACCGCTGTGCGTTAATTGTGGCGCCGTATTCCAGAAAGTCAACAAGCAGCTGACCTCCATAGTGAAGTTGGACGCACACACGACTCGCCGTCCTCACTTCGAGCACGTCTAACAGACAAATGGCACAGCGGTGAACATTCACACCGTTCCTTCCTGATTCCCAATAGAGGGCACTTCTATATACACACCTACCTGCATTAACCAACTTCCGTGTCACAATTGTTATATAGTTTGTCTCATTTTCATTTGACTGCCCCTAATACTTAATCAATTTTAAGTATTTTTAAGTATTTATTATCATCAAAATGCTAATTTCAACATTGTTAGAGTTTTAACACTTAAAGATAGTTTTATTTATTTGATGATTCTGAAATAAAAATTTTAGTTTTTTTACCATTTTACTTTATCATAAAGAAAATATTTAAAACCTTGGCAGACAATATTTAATTTTTTAAAAATTTGAAAACATTGCAAACATCTTACTTTATGTATTTTATTGTGAAATTGGCTAATTTACCAGAGGACGACAAGCGCTACATAACAAGAAGCTACTGTATTTCCAGTAAACCGTAAATACCTAAAAAGTCTTTGGCATCAGTAAATAATCAGTAATGAAAAATGATGCAGAAAAAGAAAAAGACAGAAGCATCAGTTTCCTAGATCTTCTAATACAAAAAAATGCTCAAAGGAATTTGTTTCAGTATATATCACAAGTTTAATCTGTCCTCACATTATACCAGCCACTTCATTACAACCACTAGGCTACTTAAATAATGCCATAGCTGCACTTATTAGTAGAGCCTACATATTACCATCATTGCAACATTTGATACTAAAAAGAGTTACAATTTATACCAGTGTTTCCCAACGCGGGGCCCATGCCCCACGGGGGCAACTGGACTGTTAAGGGGGCAATTCGAAAATGGACTCGTCCAGAGTTTAAGTTAACCGTATAGCCACAGTATATGTTAGGCGGGCATAAGAATTTTAGAAAGGCTTAGGTGGGGCATAGCACAAAAAAAGTTGGGAAACACTGATTTATACACTTGCACTAAATTGAAGTGCATTCACACTCGTGCGTAAACCCCTCTTCTCACCACCGGGACTGATGATATTTTAACCGAACGACCATGCTCTTTCAGTCTTGCTCCCTGTATTTGTTTTGTTTCTCCTATATAATACATTTTTTTCACTGCATGTATGTACAATTTAACTTATACACAACACCTAAAAAATTTATATTTAGCATTTGATCATCAGACTTTAAATTAAAATTCACTTTATTCTTTAGCTTTACATCCAATACTATATCAAATTTGATAAAATATTTTTATATTTTTCGAATATACCCTGTACATAAGGAAAAGATATATATGTTTATCATCCTGTTTTTTAAATTTAACTTCATATCTATTTTCTTTATAAGTTTTAATCCATTTTGTCAATAACCTATTTTGATATCCATTTAATATAAATTTTGTAATTAATTGTTGTCGTTCTCCTCCAAATTTTTGATGAAGCTGTAATGAAATTATTTCTTTCTATAAACAATGGCAGTTTGATTTATAATTTATTGTGTTTTTTACTATTACAGGCTTTTTCATACGTTTTAATTATCAGGTCTGGTAGTGCCATTTTCTCTCCGAAAAAGTGAGAAAAGTGAGTTGAAATACAGAAACAATAAATAAAAAGTGAGTGTAATAATGACAAAACAAAGTGAAAACGGAAGGAAAACTCGGCAAAATAGCAATAAAAGTTGTTTTTTCTCTTTTTATTCTGTTATGGTTAAATACATTTTAAAAATTTCTGTATATACTGTAATACAGTAGCCACTCCTTATATCGCGTTTTTCTTTTTGGTCCTCCAAATTTTAAAATACCAATTACCATTGAATTTCTATTTGCAACAAAATACAGTATTCGTATTTCTACCATTGTCCTTAAAACTACCACCGAAGGTGAAACAACAAATTCATCAAGATGTAAATATGCAAAGCAGGTAGACATATCAATTGTCATTTGTTTCCTTTTGACATTAAAAATTGTTTATTTATTAGTCCTCATTTACAAGTTTCTGTCGATTCAAAATTTCACTTCTTTATGAAAATTGACGGTATTGCGTCAATTCACATAAAGGCGTGAAATTTCGAATTCACCGCATAATGTGTAAGGAAAAGATTTCTTTAATTTTGAATGGAAAGTTTTTATACAGTAGTAACTTTATTTTGCTTTTTAGAGAATTTTTACTCTCGATTTATTGTGAAAATAAATCGCTTATTAAATACTGTATAATAAAATCGTAACTGATATTTCGTTTTTATATCGACAGTATTTGTCTTTACGTGTCATTGTTAAAGA